GAGAGAACCAACCTAGAACTCAGGAGGAATAAGAAGACATTCAAAATCCTTTTCAATTATGTTATTCTGTTATTCTATATCCTGCCTTTATTATTTTCCAACACACCTTCCTCCTCCTATTTTACCTACAACAACAACCCTGCCAGGTGAGTTGGTCAGAGAGAGAGTGACTGGCTCAAGGTCACCCAGCTGACTTTCAGGGCTAAGGTGGGACTAGAATTCACAGTCTCCCACTTTCTAACCTGGTGCTTTAACCATTAGAGCAAGGGTGTCAAACTCATGTCATCATGGCAGCGTCACGTGATGTGGACTTTTTCCCCTTGGCTAAACTGGGAGTGGGTGTGGCCAGCATGTGATGCATTGGCCTGAGGGCCGGGAGTGTGACAGCCCTGCACTAAAGCAAATTGGCTCTTGTGTTGATGTTTCACTGGCTTCTTATTAGCTTTAGTTTTGAAACACTTCACTCTACAGAATCTTCTTAAGCAGGTGGGCAAAAGAAATTTCGGAGTGCAATGGTTACATTTTGAAATGTATATAGCAACTGGTTATCAAAAGTACATTTCAGTATCAACAGACTGATACAAAGCTGCTGTAGCAATTGCCTTCATTTCAATTATACTAAGAAAACAGAAGAGCAAGAAAAACCCATCGCCATGAAAGTTCATCGTTAGCAGAGGGAATAACTAAAGTTTCTATTTATTTGTGTTGTTTAACCAGTTAGCAAATCATGATAAATCTTCCTCTTAACCCACATCTACAGTATTATTTTGCACAATTGCTCATGTATGAAAATTTGCATCTGCATTCCAGGGTTTCCTATTATTTGAATCTGCGGGTCTACTGAGTTTCCAATAAAAGAAAGGGGGTCTTAAGTAAAATCAACCTATTATTGATTTTTATTAGTAATCCCAAGTATTCCAAAATTAGACAAATTTAAACAGATGGCTAAAAACAGAAACATTGTCTCTCTTTATTCCGAAGACAAAATGTAGTGAACCATTATCATCCTGGCATTAATATCCTTTCTAATATGTAGACATTTACAAGGAAATAGGTTTGTATATTGTATATTTGTATTCTGCAAGAGAAACTATGAGAGACAAAACATTTAGTGGAACATAGTTTCTTTTTCTGACTCTTCTCCTAATATAATGATCCTAAATCTCACAGAATAATCTAATGGATACAGCAACATTATTATTAAATAATGGGTGCTGGCTGCACTCCTCATTCATCTGAATATGGCACATTCCTTATGAGGAAAAAGAAAATATGAAGAATTTATTTAAAACAAGGAATATTCCTTCCGCTGGCAGTGGTTTTGGTTAAATAAAGCTTGGGATGGAACAATGGTGCAGACTACTCCTGAGATCACTGACCATAGCTTGTTTCTGCCTGCTGTCCTGCTAAGGACACTCCACTTTTCTGATGCCCAATACAGCTGCATATACTGGTACCCTCTTCAACTAGAGTCTGGATCACTCCAAACTCTAAGCACCAAATTTGTGAGCCCTCCCACTGTTGTATCTTTACTGAAAACAAGGTGGAGATGGATTACATCTATAGCATTCCCACATTCTATTAAGATAGTCATCCAATTCATATATGAGAGAAGATTAACTCTGACAAATTCATGTTTATGTTATTTCAAGATTCTTTCAGATTGTTTTCTTTACAATTTGTTACAGAATTGTCTTAGATCCAGTTTCAAATTTACTGGCAATCAAAAGATAGGGAGATTTGTTCTCCAATAGTAACTTGGCATTTCTTGACCATTTTCAAAAATAATGCAAAACGTTTTGGCTAACCACCTGCAAATTATTTCACCTGACCCTTAACATTTACACTTCCAGATAATATATATGGACTCCCTGAACAGATCATTGCGGAGTGGGTGGGGTTGGAAGCTAGAGGAGAAAATATTCTATCTCAGGTTATGGGGGCGGGGGATAAAACAATACATCATTGGACTTTTAAAACACATTCATGGGGAAAAGAAGGAAGTTCAATGAAATAAAAATCATACTTGTAAACGATTTTAGACCAGCTATTTCTATGTATAAGTATATAATTATTATAGCACTATATGTACTTTTACAGCAGTCAGGGTTAAAGTTAGTTCTCGAAGATATTACAGAATGTAGTCAGCAATGGTTTATTTGAAAAGGCATTCCTGCTTCTGTGAAACACCCAATTAATTAGTAGCATTCCACAAATACAAGCATGCTACCTGAAATGGACTGAAACCTCAAGGAGATAACATGGAACAGTAAAATTGCCCTGAAGCTGCTTTGGTGGTTGGTGGGAGATTATGAGACGGTGGTGTTATATGTTTCTGCCTTCAGAAAGGATTATTGGAAGATTCAAACAAAATGGCAAGAAGACTGTGCAAGCAGCCCTGTTTTATTTACTTGTTAGTATCAAAATAAGAATTGAGAGAGAGGGAGAAGTCTTGTGCCCGACTATGTCCTGAAACTGAATGGTAGCCACAACTCAACCATTTGTTTTTAATTGTTAAAAGATAAACTCTTTTTACTTGTTCCTCAATTTATTTTAATCAAGTTTGTTAATTTGGATTTATGTTAATCAACTTTTAGTTGTGGCTACTTTTAACATATAGTACATTTTATCACTTTCTATTGCTTTTGACAAATTGTATTCTTAATTGCTGTATTGCAATCATTGGGTATACAACTAAATCTGTATTAAAATTTCAAATTCTTATTTCCCACACTACCAGTATTAGGGTATGATCAGTGAAATCTATTTTATATTCTCAGACTTCGTGAGCTACACTTCAGCAGTAAATTCACGTACAGAAACAGAAGGCTTAATCAGAAAAAATAACTGCATTAACTGTTTGCTATTGGTGTCTCAGTTACTAAAATTAGATGCCAGAATCCCATCTGCCCAGTAGATAATGATGTACTTCATGCATTAAATGGATGAGTTCTCAAAAAGACCAGATGGTGATTCACCTGATCTTTAGACCTTATAGGGTTAAGTCCCTGGGCATAATAATAGAGGGCAGAAATACTGGAAACAGTGGTTATTACCAGGGGTGGGATTCTACCAGTTCGCACCTATTCGCTAGAACTGGTTGTTAACATTCTAAGCAGTTTGGAGAACCGGTTGTTAGAAGAAATTACTGGCCTAATCCTGTAAGGAAGGCAGGAAGGAAACATTCTGGTATTGCTTACAGAAACGGCCTCTCCGTTAACCCTTATTACATTCTTGGCAGGACTAGACTTCCTGTCTCAGGAACTTCTCTGGAGTTTTTTCCCTCTCCTTTGCTGGTAGTTTGCTTGTGTGGAGTGACCATTCAAAGTTACAATGGCACTGAAAAAAGTGACATGACCATTTTTCAAACTTACAACTGTTGTAGCATCCCCACAGTCATGAGAGGCCAGGCAAGGAGATGCGTGCCTTGATGTGAGTGATATTGAATTGGCCACGCCCAGCCAGTCACATGACCACCAAGCCATGTCCACCAACTAAGCCACATCCACAGAACCGGTTGTTGAAAAATTTGAATCCCATCCCGGTTATTACCATATCTACAGCAATCTCCCAAGTACAATTATATGTTCCCAATAGATGCAAATATGTGTAGCTCAGGGTTGAATCGTAGAGCCCTTGGTGCTCTGAGCCTGCTTGTTCACTTGCAGATGTTTCATTCCAGACTAAGTATCATTATTAGTGTGAGTGAATGTGGGGTTTGCCCCTAGTTTATATACAGTAGTTTGCCCTGCCAGGGTTAGTAGAAATGATTGTTAGGGTTTTGTTTTCAGCTTGACTGCTGAATGTTAATCCCTATGCTGGAGAGGATTTATTCTGGTCTTTTTGTTTCCTTCTTAACTTTTTTATTGTCTCTTTTGAAGGGAAGATGTGGTGTGGTGTGGTGTGTGTGTGTATGTGTGTGTGTTGTGCTACTGGCAGCCACAGAAGATGAAGAGGTGGAGCTTACACCTCATCTCAATGCAAGGGCCTGCCTGGAAGAGAGAAGAACTGAGCAAAGAGGTTCTACAAGATTATTGGCCAGAAAGAATCTCACCCACCAAAGGAACAAGTCCAAATGCCACCCTGGCATTTTCCAATACAAGATAATTTTCTTGTACTGGATTTACAAAAGAGGCATGTTTTGAAGAATCTTGTGAGAAGTGACAAAACAATGAAAAGAAATTAAATTCTATGACACAATTTGAATGGGCTAAAGATTCTTTGTCAGAAATAAAACAATATATAGTTGGCTTATTTGATTAAGATTAAAATAAATATGTTATTATCTTTGGTAAACCTTTGTGAATTTTTGCTGGCACAAGAATTCAAATGACTCTTCTTTATGGAATATGGGAAGAAGAAACCATTTGTTGTGTTTTAAGAGAAGATAAGTTACTAAATTGTTTATATTTGTGATGAAGGTGCAAAGTCACTTCATATATTTCTTTTATTTTCTTTACTATATTTTTACTTTTCTTTCTTTTCTATTCCTTTTTCTATTTCTCCTTTTTTCTTTCTTTTCTGCATGTTCTACTCTTTTTATTTTTTATATATTTCTTCAGTTTGAATTAGTTTTTACTGTTATAATTATAGGGTTTGATAAAATTACCACCAAAAAAAGAAGCCACTATATGTGGCACTTGCTAAACAAGGACAATCTGCAAAATTGTTTTTCTAAATTGAATATAAGACATCATTTTTGCATGCTATTAAACCTTGATTTTTTTACAAATCTGCCATGCTTTTCCTTGGAGCTTAGCTAAGTATAAAACTATAGTAAGTATAATTATTTAAAAATGTATTTTATTCCACTTTTCCATGAAAAAGCATTCCAAGTAGCAAAAGCAATTAAAACTAATGATAAAAGATTTATTTGTTGGACACTGCCCAGAGTCATATGGTGTGAGATGGCCAGCTATATAAATGTGATTAATTAATAAATAAATGTAGTACTACTGAGTCTAGTTAATCCTTCTAATTTTTCTCTTCTTTCTTTGTAGGGATGACATGCCAAGCCCGAAGTTCTTACATTACCAGTGAAATTCTGTGGGGTTATCGTTTCACACCGGTTCTCACTCTAGAGGATGGATTTTATGAAGTTGATTATAATAATTTCCATGAGACATATGAAACCAACACCCCATCTTATAGCGCCAAAGAATTGGCAGAGATGTCTAGTCGAGCAGAGTTACCTCTTACTTGGTCTGTCTCAAGCCAATTAGATCAACATGCTGAATCAGAGGCTGGAGAGGAAGCTAAAAGCCATGAAGAACAAGCAGAAAGGAATGGTGATGTGGCCAATTTAGAGAACGAATCCAAAGTGTAGAACTGAATGATGGGACAGAAAATATTAACACTTTCAAAAGAGGGGAAAAACAGCAGTCTAAAATGTTTACTGTCTGTCCATCCATCAATAAGATCAGTGAAGATTTGGGTTGAAGCTGCAATATTGTATATTTTCCTATTTTATTTTACCTTTTATTGTTCCACCTTTTAGTTGGAGAAATCAATATTCTCATACATAAGCAAGTGGCTTTTGTTTTGTTTTTATGACAAAAAGCAAAAATACATAGATCAGGGCAAACATGAATGGAGAATCTGTAGGTAATAATTATTACTGACGTGAGCTTTAACTCCAGATATTTATTTATATATATATATATATATATATATATATATATATATATATATATATATATATAATTTGTTTTCTGAGATTTTCGCGGGTATTTGTATGTGGATCTTTGGTTATTCGGGTTTTCTCCCGCATAAAATTGGAAGTATCTTGGCAACGTTTCGATGAA